AAGGCAGTCGCTTAACCGACTGAGCCACCCAGGCGCCCCTCTCCCCTCTTCTTCTTATGAGGATGCCAGTCATTGAATTAGGGCCCACCCTACTCCAGAATGACCTCATCTTAACTAATTACATCTGCAACGACCCCATTTCCAAATAAGGTCACGTTCTGAGGGTTGGGGCTCCAACCTATCTTGTGGGGAGACAGAATTCAACTCATAACAAGGTATTTTCAGGGCAAAAAAAAAAAAAAAAAAAAGACATTCCTTTGTCCGTTTGTTTGGTTTTTGCTCCCGGCAGAGGACCGAAGCATTAAACCAGTCTCTGTGAAGAGCTGGGCTCTTCTGCATATCCTTTCCTCCCTGGCTTCAGAGAAGGAGGCCAAGAAAGACCTGCAAGCCAGAAAGGCGGCAGCCAAGTTCCCCCAGACGAACAGCACCTAGGCCCTAGTTAACCCCTGACCTGGTCCTGTCCTGGGGGACACGCTTCACCTGAGCTGAGTCTCTCGGCTGGGTCATTGGGAAACAGCGTTCTGGGTACTTGACGTTCCACACCTCACCAAGGCCAGGACTGCAGAAGCATAACCAAGAGCAATTCAGCTAGAACTGAGGTTGTGCCCAAGGGGCAGGGCTGGTGCCAAGCAGGGGGAGCCGGGCTCCACTCAGGAACGGAGCAGCAGAGAAGCCCGGGAGGGCTTCGTGGTGGCAGTGGCCGGGCTGGGGGGCGGAAGGTGAGGGGGACCTGGCCAGTCAGAGGCAGGGGACGAGGAAGGAGGAGAGCAGAGGTGTCCTGCCATCTGCCCTTGTGACTTCTGCTTCTTTGGAAACTTTTCTTCCTTTAGTTCCTGGGGAATGACAACATCCGAATCTCTTCCTGCTTCTGTAACTCACTGGTCCTGCGCGCTCACCTGCAGGCCTAGCCCCGAGGCTCCATCCCTGGCTCTCAGCTCTGGGCCATGGGACCAGCTCTCCTTTCCCAGAATTTCAGCACAGCCCCTGCAGACCACTCTGAGGTCTCGGCATCCTGACCTATCACTTTCCCAGCGTCCGGGCCACATGGTCACGCTGTGCGCTTGATGTTCAAAGCAGAAGCCCTGTCCTCCCTTCCTCACTTTGCTCCCATGCCAGCTCCCATCCCCAGCTTCTCTCTTACCTCGTCCCCTTGGCTGACATTAATTTAGCCTTCAAAACTTTACAGTTTTGGCTGCCTCCCCTCCTTTAGTCCCAATATTTAATCAAGCAACGTACCCTGAACGCTCTCTCCTTTGAAATTGTCACCCGTTTCCCCTTTCTCTGTCATTTCCCAAATTCGAGCCAAATGTAAGCTCCATGCTTAGATAGTGAGTGCATGGTTCTCCAAGCCTGGTCCCCAAACAGCACCATCAGCATCACCTGGGAGCTTATTAGGAATGCAGACTCCCAGGCTTCACCCAGGCCTACTAGGGCATCAGGAGCCCTGGGGGTGGGGCCCAGCCATCTGCATGCGAGCAAACCGTCCAGGTGATGCCCGGGCATGAGACACCTGGAGAACCAGCGGATTAGTGCAGGAATTTCCCCTGATCCCACCATCCATCCTGACTGTAACCACCAAATTCATTTACTTAACAGTCTTCCTTACTGCCAGAGCTCCACTCCAGAACCATCGATGGCTCTCAATTCCCTGCCTCATGAAGGCTTAACTCCACCGAGCCTTTTGCAGCTCCATGATTGAGTTCCATCTCTCCAAACTGGTCCTCAGCAGACTCCCTAAGACTATCTGCATCGTACTTGAGACAGTGTGTCCGCTTTCTAAGCACCAGACCTTTGAGTATATGGGCACCTGCTCCCCTCCACCCACCAATCCTGCCCCAAATGGAGTTGGATTAGGACCTTTAGAAACCCTAATCAGTGAAAAGTGGCTGCCACCCCTCTCTGGAGTGGAAATAAAAATAAACATCATACTTAGGTATAAAATAATCATGTGGAAGTCATCCAGATTACTGATTCTTTCCCAAATGAACTTGGAAATATAATTTGCTGCTTTAAAAATATATTTATCAAATTCATTTTTTAAAAGCAATTTTTGGTGCCACTCTGCTTTCTACTGCTCCAAGTTTGTGCTCAAAAAACCTGATTAGTCCAGTTCTGCCTTTGCGGATCCAAATCCTACTTACCGTGGAGTGCTCTGTTCCTTTTACAAGTAAAATTGGATACACGGCAGTCTTATCCGCTCAGTCAGTGGGAGGGAAGGCATTTTGTTATTTTATTTCCTCTGGGTTTTTTCCCCCTTTCAGCAGCTGTATGATAGAGTAATAAATCCTACCCGACTGCTCAGTCGCTGCACATTGCCCCTCTGATAGACAAGTGTTATGGGCAGCCTTGCTAATAACATGAATCTGAAAGTCATCATTACTCCTCTAATGCTTAGACCCATTTTTCAGAATCCTTTCAGTCACCAGGCACCTGCTGAATGCTCACAAAAAATGACAGTTGCCCAGAGGCACGAGACTCTATAGTTAGCAAAGCCACCACCTGACAGGTGAGATTCATCCCCATAAGATGCTTCTCCAAAGTTTAAAAAAAAAAAAAAAAGTCTCCTTTTAAAGTGAATCAATCAGGACTCAATGTTTGGACATCATTTATGAACCCAGCCCCACCTACATGCCAAATACCTAAGACCTTTTCATAAATCTCTTGGCAGTAAAAATATCCTATTTATAAGTTTTATACCTCCGATGTAATATACATGATACATCTGGCCCACAAAGGATAATTCTTTGGAGCTGACGTTTCTACTGGTGAATAAACTGTGACAATTGACTTTGTACAGTCTCTGGGACTCTGTAGATAGAGGTGTACACCTTTCTGAACAACCGTGTAAAGGATAGATAGAGCTGCGGACACACCCCAGATAGAGCCCCTGCAATCACCCCGCCCTCTCCTCCCCTAAGCACGTTAGACAGCCTCCCCAGCACCCCAGCACTCGGGTTCCGCAGCCCATCGACTCACCCCCCATCCACGGGTTTGAAAGGAGCCTGGTGTCAGGAGGGTCCCCTGGCCTCAGGAACTTGCTGTTCCTGCCCCGTGGTTCACCGTCCATGGTGCCCTCCTGGGCCGGGCAAACTCCGTGCTCCACTTCAGTTGCTCAGGAGAGTCCAAATTCCATGCTCCCCCTGCTCCTGGGAATTCCAGTGCTGGGGCTGGCTGAGCCTCACCGTCCTGGTCAGACGGTAGAGAACAGCAGAGAACAGAACAGGCGGGGTAATCTGAGCACTACCTGTGGTCAGACAGACGCACGCGCCCAGACACACACACACACACACGCATGCACACACATGCTCCACCTAGCTGCCTGGAGGTTGGCCAAAGCTCACAACGGCCCCCCAGCCCCAAGTCTGCAAAGTTGCTGATGTCACGTCCTTTCCCAAACTGAGACCAATCAGTGAGGAAGCCTTGGTTTATCAGGAAGGAAAGCCAGTTTGTAACTTTTTGGAGAGCAAAGGGAACAAACAGGGTGGGGGTAAGGAAACCACTCCCTGCTGCAACGTTGTTTGCTCTGCTGGGATCCGCTTGTTCTTTGGGGGCTTCTCGTGGTTGAGAAAGCCCCAGAACCCAAGAGCTGAGAGAGCTGGTTTTGCTGCAGCCCTGCTGAATTGCTTGCACAGCAACATGCACAGCACGCCCAGGCCATCTGCACATGTGGTTTCAATTTTTCTGGGAGTTTCTTATGGGAAAATGTGTCTATATGTTACAAAAATGCCCCTTTGGACAGAACTTCTATTTTCTTCCCTCTGACCACAAGGATTTCCCTAAATCCTGTCCTGCTTCGTCCTTCCTCCCCACGCTGTGTTTTAACTTCTAAATAAATAATTAATGGTTGCTATTGGAAAATGGGTTGCTGCAGGGCCGTGGGGTGTGGGAGAAACTTGCTACTTTGTTAATTATAAAAAGTTTTACTCTGGAGAGGTTTCACAGGCTTGCCTTTCCGAAAACAGCGGGTCCTTGTTCAGGTGGACCCAGTTTCCCTGCATCCCTGGGTGCTGCTTCAGGCTGATGGCCGTCCCAAGGGCATCTTTCTTCCCAGGGAGGGAAGGCTCTGAGTTAGTCTCAGGCATAGTCTGTCTGTGAAATGAATGTGGAGGTTTTTTTGTTTTTTTTTTATTTTTTTTTAATGCCAAAGAGGGATCCCCGACTGAAACACGTGGCAGCCACATGAGGAGTGTCCTTCACATTTTAAAATGTATTTCTGTGCAGACATATGGACACACACTTATCCCTTTACATTTTTCCCATAAATGTAATTATATTACCATCTTGTCCCATGCCTCTCACACTTGTTTCATCTTGGAGATCTCTCCCTGTGCATATATAGCTGGCCCTTTCTTTCTTCACTACTGTGTAGCTTTCCATATTGGGCCCCAACTAGCTCACCATCCCCGTATGATGGAGGCAGACTGTGACCATTTCTTTCACTATCACAAAAATGCCGCAGTCCATATTTTTGTCTCAGTGGCTGTGCGTACAACTGCAAATATTTCTGGAGGAGACATTCCTAAGAGGGGGAAGGCCGGGTCAGAGGTTTGCTCCTACACATGCGATGATCTGTCCAGAACTAAAGACACACACAGAAGTGACTACAAGCCAAACTGGAGAACTCTGAACGAGGTCGGTGGCCGAGGTCCACTGTACTAGAGGTTTGCAGAAAGCTGTCACTGGGGGAATGTGGGCAAAGACACAGGAGCCCTCTCTGTATTACCGCTTACAACTGCATGCAAATGCACAACTATCTCAATATAAATTTCATTTTGGAATTGTTCTTTTAAGATTGAGAGAAACTCTGCCAAACTGCCCTCCGGTTCTTTGCAGAATTAACTGAACGGGCCACGGGCATAATAGGCATTGCTCACTACAACACCAGGAAAGAGTCAAAGAACTATAAAACCTGCATTTGGCAGAGACTGAGAAATGTAGTCCCAACGTAGACTGGATGACGAGGAGTTAAACAGAGAGGCACCATGGGGATCCTGAATATTAACCCCGTTCTTTGAGTAAAATCTTCCTGGTACAGCTTCTTTATTTACCTTTAATGAAACTCCAAGAAGATACCACTTTTCCATAACCAAATTTAAGTTTATTGTCCAAAATGACAATAAAGGGGATTTCTAGGTTGTTGCCTTAGTACCTGGGAGGGAATTACTCAGCTTTTAACCTTCTCCCTAATTTATAATGTTGGTCACCTCTCGTGAATAGTGGAGGATGGGGACTGATTTTTTTTTTTTTTAACTGTTTAACCACACTTCTGGTCAGGAATTCAAAAACCATTACAAGAGAAGGTCATGCAGGGGTGCCTGGGTGGCTCAGTTGGTTAAGTGGCTGCCTTCGGCTCAGGTCATGATCCCAGGGTCCTGGGATGGAGCCCCGCATCGGGCTCCTTGCTCGGCAGGAAGCCTGCTTCTCCCTCTCCCTCTGCCTGCCTCTCTGCCTACTTGTGTTCTCTATCTCTCTGTCAAATAAATAAAATCTTAGAAAAAAAAAAAAGAGAAAGTCATGCATTTTTAAGGGTCTATATGAGGATAGAGTTGATTTACATGTGTATGAGCTACAGTCATTCTTTATCAAGTGCAGTCTTACCAGCCAGTGCCTCTGCGCCCCCCTCACCCAGATGTCCACAGCTGACGTCACTCATGGACTCCCAGACTCTCCCCCCCGCCAGGTCTTGGGGAGCCTTGAAAGTCACCTCCAAGCAGTCAAAGTCGGCCCAGGAGCAGAAACCTCTGGTCATTCCAGCCAGCCATTTTTCTAGCACAAAACCTTTAAAACCCAAAAGGTACACATCTCCTCTGTTAATGTGGAATGGTCTGCCCTTCCCGCAAAAAGCCGAGCTGTTTGCGCTGTTCTGGCATAGCTGGCTCTGGCGCTGAGCGAGCTGGTGCTGCTACTTGGGAGTGCACTCACTCCCACTCCATCTAGCAGGACAGCCAGATTCAAACAAGGATGAGTTCTTTAAACCGACAGAGTGCAGCATTCTTGAGGAAAACCATCAGGCAAATCAAAATTGAGAAACAGTCTGCATAACAATGGGGCTGGATTCTTCAAAAAGGCAATGGCACGGAAGACAAAAGGGGGGGGTGGGGAGGCTTTCTAGCTCGAAGGAGACAACAGTACATGATCCTTGATCAGATCCTGACTGGGGGTGTGTTGGGAGAGGGGGGACAAGACATCAATGGCACAATCGCCGAAAGTTAAATATGGACTCGTATCACATAGTCACAAGTGCATCACTGTCGAGCTTCCTGCATGTGATTACTGCACGGAGGTGATACAAAAGAATCTCTGTGCTCCTAGGAGGTTCCTGCTGAAGTGCTTAGGGCCGAGCCACATGCAGCTTGCAGAGGGAGAAATGCCTGCCCCTCTGGACACATTGTGCATCAAAGAGGAAAAGCTAATGCAAGCTCCACAGTCAAAACACAGGAGTATATATAAAGCCCTCATTGCCCAATCTGTTCACAAGCCACTGTCATTCCTCATATGTCCCAGGACCTCCAGCTGATTGGAAACATTCCTCTCCTTGCACAATTGTGTTAAGCCTGTAAGACAAACAACAGCCCATCTTTATTAAAATTTTTGATATTTTTTGTCATTGTGGGCTTTTTTCTGTAACATCGAATTTTTTTAAACATTGCACTAAAATATTTACTTCGATGATAGAGTTTCTGGGTGCCCCCCTTATATTTTTTGCAACACTCGGCCTCAGCTAATGCTGGTCTTGGGGAAGAATCATGACTTCCACAGTTTATTCATGAATGGCCCACTTAAAATTATTTGTACAGGGGTGCCCAGGTGGCTCAGTAGGTTTAGTGTCCGACTCTTGATTTCGGCTCTGGTCATGATCTCAGGGTCGTGGATCAGGCTCTCATTGGGCTCTGTGCCCAGTGGAGAGTCTGCTTGAGATTCCTTCTCTCAAAAAGAAATCAATCTTTAAAAAAATTATTGGTATATGTATTCATTATACATGGTTTATATACATATACATTCTACAGGTGTGTGCACGCACATATACACATGTGTGCATACACACAGATGAGCAAATGTGGCAAAATGCTAAAAATGGGTGAACTGAGGTGACAGGTATCCAAATGTTCGTGGTATTATTCTTGTCATTTTTCTGTAAGCTGGGAAAGTTTCAAAACAACAGTGATGGGGGAAAATGTACCAGATAAAAATTAAAAATCTAGTGTGCATGTTTTACAGGCTAAAGTGTGTCCCATATGCTCATCCTAGTGCCGACTCGGCTGAAGAAGGGAGATTACTGACCCCGAGCGAAAGCAGCCGCTGGCGGCGGTCTGGGATGGGTGAGCTCAGGAGGTCCTCCAACGCTGAAAGCGCCCTTCCCTAGCAAGCTGTTCATACACCCTTCCTCCCTCCCCGTGCCAGCCTCAGGCACGCCAAGTCGTCTCTACCACGAGCGCTGTGGCTGAGAAAAGTATCTGTAAACCTCAGGTTTCTCTGACGAGGTATTAGAAATATCAGGGAGAATCACTTTGGGAGAAACCGTCCCTTAACAAAGGACACAGGAAAACCAGAGATGTTGAATGACATACCTAACCTTTTAAATACTTTAAGGGATGTTGAAAGAGTTGAGGCTTAAGTCTCCAAATAAAACAGGCAAGCTTACTTTCTTTAAAATAATGGCTCAAGGCAGATGAGGGATAGAGTCAGATAAATGATGGATGGGTAGATAGATGAGAGACAGACACAGGGTATAGAGATTGATGTATTACATGTCTCCTTAGAGAGACACGTGGTACATGGATAGGTAATACTGGATATTTGTATGGTTATGAAAATATTTTTCCCTTAAAGTGATTTATTGTGTAATATTTCCAATTATTTTTAACTATTATTTTATTATTTTATTATTTTTTTTAAAGATTTTATTTATTTATTTGACAGAGAGAAAGAGGGAGAGAGAGAGAGAGAGCACAGGCAGGGGGAGCAGCAGGCAGAGGGAAAAGCAGGCTCCCCCTGGAGCACGGAGCCCCATGCGGGGCTCGAACCCAGGACCCTGGGATCAGGACCTGAGCCAAAGGCAGACGCTTAACTGACTGAGCCACCCAGGCACCCCAACTATTATTTTAAACGGTTTTCTTAATCGGTAGATACCTCTTCTGAACATCTTCTAAGAACTACCTCAAACATTTAAAAAGATTTATTAAAAAAATGAAGTTCACTCTAGTGGTATTTGTAACAGCAAGAAATTAGAAGTAATCTAAGTATTCCAGCAATATGGAAATAGCTAAGGGATAGGATGCAACCATTTAAGAGGATAGATTCGAAGCGTTTGAAACTTAGAAGATCATTACAGTATGGTTTGGGGGAAAAGCAGGAATCAAAAATACTCTTATAACAGGATCATGACGTTAAACCAGGCAAAGAAAGCAAAACAAAACAACAAATGTGATATACTGAAAAAAGTCACTAAAACCTTCACAGTAAAAATAAACTAATAAATTTTAGACACATGCCTGAGGAGTTCTTTCACAATTCAGTCACCCTGCCAGGGTCTTGCCTAATCACCTTATCTAAAACAGTAGCTCTCATCATCACACTTTACCTCAGCCTGCTTTATTTTTCTTATCACTTTCCTGACAGGATGATATGTATGTATGTGTTGCTTACTCCCTGTTGCCTCCAGTAACTTACTAGCTTGTCGAGGGCAAGGACCTTGTCTATCTTTTTCATAGGCTTAGTGTCTGGAACATAACAGATGCCAGGTAAAAATGTATTTAATGAATTAATTGAAAAGTTATCCTACAGCACTTCAAATATGATTGAAATTGTAGAAAATTACACCATTTGGGGAATAAGACATCCCACATCCTGTGAAAAATGAAATAATCTAGATTAGTATTAAGAACCCCCCAAAGCAAGCAATCTAATATCATATAAACCAGAAGATTCCATCTGGTGGCCTCATTCTAGCTTGATGGATCGTAGGACTCACAGGGAATTTAAAGACTACTTCATGTCCAATCTCTATATTCATAAATCATAAAACATCGCAACAGCTCCAAGACCCAGGGATCTGGACCTGTTCTGTATCCACATCCTTCTGGAATCAGAAGGATCGGTCTGGTAAGTGGTCTCTTGGGACTCAGTTCAGAATTAGAGTGTCCCCCCTCCACACACATGCACAAAACACACCTACCAGAGCTGGGAGGTCCATACAAATGATTCGTGAAATCCGTGGTCTGCAGTTTCAGAAAGTAGATGGAACAGCAGGATCCTCACGTTCCTCAGGACCACAGACGGATGAAATATCCTAGGACATCCTGGGGCTTAACACAGAGCTCAGACATTGACCAAAAAATGCACTCAGGAGAACACTTTGAAGACAGAAAGCCTCCAATTCCTGAATGTTCTATGATACATATTTTAATTACTGAATATCTATGATACGTAATTTAATTTATCAGTATTTTCTTTTAAAGTTTCTGCCTTTGATATTAGGCTTAGAAAAGACCTTCCCTTTCATGGACATTCATGAACATTTTCTTCTAGTATTTTAGAGCATTTGAAATTTTTTTAACATTTTCAAAAAAACCAAGATTTGTTTTTGGAACGTGATGTTAAATAGGAATTTAAATTAATTTAATCTTTTTTCCCCAGATAGTTAACTAATTAACTTATTTGATATTCCCAAATTGTGAAAATCAGAAAAAGGTCTCGAACTGTACTAACAGAAATATGCTAGCCACATGTATAATTTAAAATTGTATGGTAGTCACATTTAAAAAATAAAAAGAAGTGGAATTAATTTTAATGATGAATTTTATTTAACCTAATACATTCAAAATATTATCATTTCAATGTGTAATCAACATCAAAATTATTAATATTTCACATGTTCTGTACTGAATCTTCAAAACACGGTATTTTTTTTAATACCACAGCACATCTCAATTCAGCCACATTTCAACTGCTCAACAGCCTAATGGGTCTTGTGGCTCCTGTACCGAATAGCCCAGCTTTAGAGCACTGTTTCTCAATCTCGGCACTACTGACATTTTGGACCTGATTATTCCTTGCTGTGGGGAGCTGCCCTGTGCACAGTAGGATGATTAGCCGCATCTCTGACCTCCACCTACTAGATGTCAGTAGCACCCCTCCCTCAGTTGTGGCAACTAAAAATGTCTCCAAGCTTGGCCAAATGTCCCTGGGGCGGGGGGGCAAAATTGTCCCTAGTTGAGAATCAAAGAGCTAGAAAAAGGGGGGGGGGGAATACATATTTGGACCAAACTTAGGATCATTTGAGAGAAAATTTTCTTTTTAGAAGCTAATATTACTCTAGTCACTGAACCATGGCAGTAGTACTTACAACAATAATTAAGACTATCCAATTTCCATGTTCTGAATTCACAAAAAGGAGGAGGAGATAAAGAAAGGCTAGCAGTGGGAAAAGCAGAAGGGGAGGGAGTGGAAAAGAAGAAAAAGAGAGGGGGAGGGGAAGGCTGTGTTTTCTATTATAATCATCAAGCTTACTTGGGGTCCAGACTCACAGAAATAATATTGACCCAGCGTTGAGCCCATCTCAGTGACTGGCATTAACATGTCAGACAAAAACCCTGAGGCTCTTGACTTTGAAAATAAGCTGATAGATGCTTGGGTTGCAACAAGCATCAAACAGTGCCTGTGGGTTCAGCTAGTTGGGAACGCCCAGTGTTGCTCGAGCCTAGAAGTGTTTACGTCAAGGAACAGCATTTAATATCAGAAGTGATGAGTGATAGACTCCAACTTCTGGGTGAGCTAATCTCTTCCAACATCTCTCTTATCAGCCAGGATCTCGGTAACTGGAAGTCTCTGCTAACTGTGATGTTTTTAATGTATTCAGCATATATATATATACATATATATATGTATGTGTGTATATATAAATAGCAAGGAAATCAAAATTATAGCAGAGGTTTATTCACAGAAGCAAAGAAAGAAAGGGGTAAGGAGGGAGGAACTAAATCAGGAACACATCTTGAATTATGTACACTCATCATAATCTTATTCGCCCAGATTTACATGTGTCTGCATGATATTCAGAATATTGACCCTTAGATAATTAAAGAGCGTGAATCTTCAAACATAGATTATTTTCACTCCCCTTCACAGACTTTTAAAGTTTCTTAACAACAAAAGCTAAAGACAAAAAGGCTCCTGGTTGCCCCTTGGTTAATGAGAGCATTAACCAGGAGTTTCCACTCCTCGAGTGTTCCGGTTCATCGGGGACCTACACTAACTGCCTTAGCTCATTCGAAGATAGTTAGAGTCTAGTGGTTGGGCATCTACACTAGGTACCCTGGATACAGCAGGCAACAACCTGCTTATTTCCAAGTATCTTCCCTCGGCCAGCTGGGGCTACCGGTATAGCAGGAATCTTTCCAGCAGCTCTGGCAGATGGAGTTCATGGATGGTTTGATGGCATGCTCGACCCAAGCACTTCCGAACACACAGGCGGCAGAGCTGGGAAAGAGCGGGTGGGCCTGGGGAAAAAATTAAAATGTGTGAAGCTCAGGGCAGTGGGGGTGGGGGAGAAGGGGAGACCAGAGGACTGGAAGAGGCTGAAATGTTCTACAAGCTTAAGAGAGGCTGGATCTCTACATGGATTACAGAGTGATGGAGCAGACATTAAATACACACAGGGACCCCAGTTTGCCCCCCCCCCGGGGGGGAAAAAATTAAGTTGACCCTCTAAATGTAATTGTATTAGTGATATTGAAGAGTGAAGCTAACCAGAGGCAAGCCAGGAATGAAGCGTGAGGCCTAAAGAAAATTCACTTCATGTCCACAGTAGCCAAACTATGGAAAGAGCCCAGATGTCCACTGACAGAGGAATGGATAAAGAAGATGTGGTGTATGTATACAATAGAATATTACTCAGCCATCCGAAAGAAGGAAATCTTGCCATTTGCAACGACGTGGATGGAACTAGAGGGTAATATTATGCTAAGCGAAATAAGTCCATCAGAGAAAGACGAACACCATATGATTTCACTCATATGTGGAACTCAAGAAACAAAACAGATGAACATAGGGGAAGGGAAGGAAAAATAAAATAAGACGAAAACAGAGAGGGAGGCAAGCCATGAGACTCTTAACTCTAGGGAACAAACTGAGGGTTGCTGGAGGGGAGGTGGGTGGGGGAAGAGGGTAGCTGGGGGATGGGCATTAAGGAGGGCATGGGATGAAATGAGCACTGGGTGTTGTATGCAACTGATGAATCACTGAAGTCTACCTCTGAAACTAGTAATACACTATGTGTTAATTAAATTGAATTTAAATTAAAAATTTGAAAAATAAATAAAGGGAATGCACTCCATTCATGCACTGTATGTGCCAATGAATGTGATAATACCGGCTGAGGAGAAAACCTGAATGGAAGCACTGAGCAGGCAGGAGCCTGAGACAGAGCTGCCAAGCAAGGGCCAACTGCCGAGCGGGTGTTGGGGTCTGTATGGTCACAGAGGCCTCCTAGACTTCCTGGCTCTAGCTGCTCACGAGTTGGTGCTGGCTGGGTCCCAAGTCCTATTGGGAGGGACCCTCCATTTGCGCCAGGCTCCCAGCTCAATAGAGGATCTACAGAAAGGACCCAACTTGCTTAACCCCCATTACGCCCGGGAACCTCAGTCTCAAGGAGGCTCATGGAGTCATCACACCCATGGCTTTGAGTGGCTGAAGGAAAGTAAGGGGACCCAAAATATGGTTGAGTAGGACAAATGAGGTTTGGGCTGGAACACTACTTATACCGAGGTCTTTGTAATTTCCCATTATTCCCTAACCTGACTGTCTCGGTAAAGAGATCTTCAATTAGACCTGTGTGGTTACTGGACGACACAAGGTTGTCCTTGTCAAGAAAATCCTACTGTAATAGGATCCTGCACCCCATGAGAAATGGCACACTGCCTATGCAAATAGCCAGGTCACATTTGATTTGATGTTTCCAAGGAGCGTCCATGTGATGGAAAGAACAAATAATTGCCCTCAGTTAAAATCTTGGGAAGCAAGAATGGAAAGCATCTCTACCTGTCACCCAAAGCTCCTCTGGAAAACAGTAACGCAGACAGACTGTCTAGTTTGCCTACAGAAACTCAGATACCAGAGTGAACTCTGACAGAGCTGGTGTTCATCCTTCTGGATGAAGTAGCTGTATTTATGACAACAGAGGACAGAAGAACTCGCTTAGAAGAAATCTAAATGGGGGGGCGGAGGAAGATGGCAGAGGAGTAGGAGACCTGGATTTCATCTGGTCCCAGGAATTCAGCTGGATAGGGATCAAACCATTCTGAACACCTACAAACTCAACAGGA